ACTTGCTTTGCCGACCTAGCCAACCTACAAGACCATGGCAAACCGAAAAAACAAACTCTTTGGGAACTTGTAAGACTCACTGCTTTGTGAGGAAAGCCTAAGACCGACCCATTGCGACAGGTGGTCGCTTCTGCTTCTCCCGATTTCTCTCGACAGCCATGCCTGACTTCCCGTCCAAGCTATGTGCTAAGCTGGCAATAGGCATATCATCTTGATTGTCCTTACTGCACAAAACGAGTCGCCGCGAGGCACGGATTTGGTGGTGTCCGCAGCTTCTCATTACCTCAAAGGACTGCGTGATGCGGAAGAAACACCTGTCAGGACCTTCCAGGGGTCAGGAGGTCCCTGTCAGGGATGAACGATTGACCGGCCAAAGGTCATGAGTCATGTTTGATACCTGAAAAACAGCCTCAACTGGCCGGTTGCAAAAGCTCTCTTCTTTAGTACCTGTCAACTGATTCTGTATGCCACGACTTCCAAGACTGTTTTTAGACTTTGACCGACCCGAAAAAGCGCTATTAATTATATATAGTCGATCTTTTCATCGTTTTCGTAGCCATCCAAAGAGACCTGGTCGATCCAACGTCCCGGTGCCGAGCACGAGGACGAACCAATGCGCGGGGCCGCTGTGCGCCACAACGACGCAACGCAAACTCACGGAAGGTTGGTGAACTCCATAGAAACCGACCCGTTGTCGTCGTTTGTCCGAGAAGGATATGTGGCACCGGTCAATTCAACGAATGAGATCTCGTTGTCACCTTGGTGTTTCTACATGTTTCTACTTGGCGTGTTTGGATCTCACGGGTGAACCACCAGCGAATCCGATTTCGGTCCTTCAGTCGTCCCTCATGACCGAACGCCCGCGGTTGCGAGACTTCGGGGCCGTTCGGTCAGGATGTTCGGAAAGGAACCGCTGAGACGAAGGTCAACGAACCAAAAGCCTGATGAATCCTGCTAATTTAATATACTTTAGCATACTTTAGCCGACATGATCACCTGACAATGATCAGGAGTCCAAGAACCATTGCCTTCAATGTCTTCGGTTCTCTCCTTTAGCTTCGCCCCGGTGTCCCTGCTGCTGGGAGTCCATCATATTCATCAGCAAGTCAGTGTTGCTGTATAGGCCGCTGGTCCTCATCGCTGATGTATGACATGACAGTGTCATGACATGACCTGTATGATGAAAAGAACATCTCTGACTCCACGAGAGGTTCTTGAATCCTATTCTTCATAGATCCATGGAATCCATGGAATCAGACTTGCTGGTGTAGCAACAATGCTCAGATCCCCAGCCTCGGTTGGTTGGTTTATCTGTCTCTTCTGAGAGGTTCATCTTTGGTAGGTTCTCCCAATGGGAAGACGTACCTGCCGTTCGCTGGGCCAGTCTGTGGTCCACCTGCGCTTTCGCAGCCCCCGTTTTGCCAGGCGGCAGCTGCTTGTGTGTCATCTCGTGAAGGTGGGTAAGATCGAACTGCGCGATCTCAGTGGTGAGACATCTGGTGCGTGATGCTTCAGAGGTGGCGATCCAAGCGAGAAAGGAGGAACATTGTCCAGAAGAAAGTCCTGTACATCCACAAGACGACTCCAGTGAGAACATGGCAGATTCCCCAAAGTCGTGAGCATGAGGTTCATTTGCACCATAAACTCAAACTGTCATTCTGCAAAACAAGCAAAGACATTCCTTGAAGATAAGGCTCCCAAAGAGAAGATCATGTTGTGTAAGAACCTCGCACCCTCTAACTTCCCACCCAGACTTTTAGCATGGACACGCTGTCGCTCATTCTCCGAGTACTTCCGGGAAGTACTTAACAAGACGTGAGGCGTTGTGCAGAGACAGGCGAGTGACGCGCAGCGGGAGGCTCAAAGCTACGGAGGCCAAGACAGGATCCTACAGAAATAGAGGGCGGGTGTTAGTAGGGATGTAAAAATGCCAAGGGAAAAATTTACAGAACCCCATCGCTGTCAGGTTGGAGGCCATCGCTATTAGGTTGGAGGCCATTGCTTCTAGGTTGTTTTACCGTAGGAGTACCCCTTCTGTAGAAAGACCCATCGTCCACCTGGGTCGAGACTTACTTCACCGTGCACGCACTGGGGAGCCCAGGCTGTCGACAAAAGCATGTTCGGCCAACCACAGTATCCTGGCGAAGGACTTCGGATTTCAGCATCAAAGTGATGCGCGAATTCTCTTTCTGAACGCACTCAGCTAGTTCAGAAAGAGATCGGCAAATAGCCCATGCTCCACTCTGTCACCCGGAACTCCACTCTCTGCTATAAGTGGCTCCATGTTTCTATGTGACAAAGTAATTCTCCTTGCGAAACGGATTGGAAAGGGAGATTCAATTCTCTCAGATCGCTTGGACAGCCAACCCCTTTAACTGGATAGTTTTGCCATGTGTTGCCAACACGTTCCATAACTAGAGGAGCCAAAGCAGGCTAAAATCCTTTGATGTGAGTATGGGTGTCACTGGATTAACATTATCTTTGGCTTTGGTACAGTAGATCAAAATTCAGCACGCGGAAGCGGAGCCTCAATATACTGATGGTCAAAACGGCACTCAGGCTGACGCAGACCTCAAAAAAGACGCCTAGCCACTAGCCTTCCGGGAAGACCATTAACAGAGTTCGGGTTCGGCTGACCTGGTTTTGTAGTGGAAAATCCTTAGTAAAACAGCTCGGGTTGTTCAGGATTCAGGCTATTGAATCAATGGTGGTTGAAATCCTGGGTATATTATGGTATAATCCAGGTGTCTTGTCTTCCGGTTTCTTCCGCAGTCCTGGCACAGCGGTGTAAACCAAAGGGAAGTTCTCCATGCCACTCAACATACGTTGACCTCATCAACATACGAACACACGGCGAACCTCAACAGCGACACCGGGTTCCCAACACGGATTCATCGAAGCTTCCGTGGACCGGAAGCGTCGATCGACTGCTTAGAAGTGAATTCATCGATTTCATGGTGTCACTGTGACCCGTACATACCTTCAAACACACATTGACATGGTTGTTAGAATAGAATGGCTCTTGAAAAGCGAAAGCCTGTCCATGTGCTCATCAAAGGAGTTCCTCTTCTGTGCAGGGTTGAACATTTCCCTTGAATCTACAGAAAGTCCGTTTTGGCCAAGGCGCCAAATGCACAATCTTTCAATCGATCACGGCCTATCTATGCTAATTCCTGGAGTGTTGCACAGAGAAACCTTCTCTTAGAGTGGAGACTGCAAACCGTTTGTTGATGCTAAATCTTCCAGCCTGCACATGACTAACGCATACGAGTAAGAATACCTAATTCTGCGGCAATTCTTAAGGCTTCTCATCTTTGCATTCCTCTTTGCCTCTTTGATTTTGAAGACACTGCGGAACCTGGGCCGCCCGGGCCGCCCATGAGCTGATACGAGGCGTGAAAGCCTCAGGTGGGGGTGACAAATCACCCGTCAAAGCGCCGTTTGAAACGAACAGTGGAGGGGGAAGCCACAACTGTATCACGTCGGATAAAATCGCCCTGGATGTTCTTAGACTCGAACCTTGAAGAGGAGCCTAAAGTCCCCAGACTCTGCCCGACCCTGATGAGGACCGACCCAGAATCGGGTGAGTCCGGTGAGATTGGGGGAACACTTCCCATCTGCTTCAAAGAGAATCCATGGGTCTCCAAGCAGAGGCTGTGTGTTGGCCAGGGCGAGCCACAAGTTTCTTGTGCCAACGACTGCAAGATGAGCCATACGAAAAGTTCGGCCCCCCCAAAAAAACACGCTCAATCTGAAGTAGTGTAAAGTGCAGACGATCCACATGGCAAAGGATCCCGGATCCCAAGCGAATCGCTTCTCTCAGTGCTCAGGTGGCACATCTCTCAGTGCGGTGCCGGTCGGAATTCCGAAGAACGAGGTCTGAGGAAACGCCGGGGAAGCCCACTCTTGAACCCGAGCAGCTCACGTTGCTCGCGGTGACCTGGTAAATGTGTGCGTCCGCTGCCGGTCGCACTGAGAGTGACGGAGGGGCTACCGTTACAGCACTGGTCACTTGAGGAATGAACAACGTCAGAGTTCTTGTTTTCCTCCGGTTGTTTGGCTTTAAAACTCCTTTATATAAAGCTACGTCCAACGCATCTTCGATGAGGGGCTCCACTGTTGATCCTCTTTCACTGGGGACTTCAACACTTGATGTGCCACGCAACCAGAGGTCCTCAGAATTGGAGAGGAAGAATCATGCAACAAGCGTGACCATGAAAGCTGGCAGCTGGGAGTCCACATGAGTTGCCTAAGCAATAAAATCCACCGTTTTGTGGGTAAACGCAGTATACGGACCGGACAAGACAAACCAAAAACAAGGGACGACCTTATCCTCTGCGGGTGAGAGGTGAAATGTCTTGTCCCAGCAAGGAGCGTGTGAAACACGGTGCAAAACGGCCACAGCCTTGTCCTTGCTCACCGATGTGGCCCAACACACTTCCCAAACCATTGGGAGCTGGGGGGAGTGGGGTTCGTGGTAACATTGGATTATGCTTCTTATTGGTTTGGGCCGTATATATATGGTTTTTCCTTGCTTTCCACACCAGTGACCAGTGGTGGGCCCCCATGCGTCGAAGAATCGACGGCCCATGCACCTCACCGATGATCTGGATCGGATTGTCCAACTCGTCGAAGAGCATATTCTGCGGACGTTCGCATCAATTCGGCTTCAGAACGTGTCTGAACGCCCGAGCGGTGCAGAAAATTAAGAGAAGACCACAAAACTGTAAGAGGTTGCATGGCATGGTTTTGCGGTGTGAAATCCTTTAGTAAAACAGCTCGGTCTTTTGGGAAACACGATTCATTAAAAGCAATGGTGATTGGAAGCTTAGGGGTAGGAGTCTCCTTGATTATGGAAACTGCGAGTCTTTTTTCCAGTTTGAGGAGGACCTGTCATTGACGTGTCATGCATCATGGATGACTAGCCACTATTCTTAAAGACCCGAGTCTTGGGATCGGTGTTTCCTTCTCTCAGGTCCCATCCAGTGGCAAAAGGCACGTCTTGCATCGCATCCACCACGGGTCAACGAGTCGAACGAGTCAAACGAGTCCTGCACGTCTTGCAGCCACCAGTGCCTCAGCCAGTGCTGTGAGAAGATCCGACAAAGAAGACCAAGGAGGACACCGACGGATGGGCGTGTGTAGAAGGAAAATCAAGGAACAAACCATTTGTCCAGGGATGTTGGGACATCTAAGAGTTGTATCTTAGATACCCTGCCGCACCGGTTGATTGGATGTCCATCACCTGAATCATTTACCCAGTCCACCAAGATTCTTGGGGGACAATTCCCATAGAACTGGGAGTAACTACTGGGCCGTGATCCACTTCTCTACTCACAAGACAGACTCACACTTCTCCGCACTGCTTCCAGGATTGTCTTGCTCCCCCTGGCCGGCAAACGATTGACCGACTCTTTACAAACCCAAAACTCCACTCCTACCACCTGACTCCGATCGACTCCGATCTTCAGATTCTGTGTGTTCGTTAATTCATCAGACATGACACCACCTCGAGGTCCGGGCACACCAGTCTTGGGGTCGTTTGGTGCCCGAAAATAAGGGCAAAACCCTCCAACTGCAAAAAAATGATAAATACAGCGTCTGTACAAAATTGCAGATGAGATTATACTGGCAGTATACATCCAACCACGAGACACCAATCCAAATTATTTCTGAATCTCTCAAACCCTTTCTCTACCGCCGCCGGCGCATCTGCTCTCCCAGCTACGGCATGTAGGGGGTGGTGTCCAAGCGAATGCCATCAATGTCATACTCCTCGGACAGCAACATGGCATGGAGCCAGAGGGTGGAACCGTCTGCCGATCCCAATGATCCCCTGCAGTTGGACCCGGTGCACACCACGGATGTTCCGCGCAAAAAGGGCGAATGTGTGTACTCATGGTATGTGCCTTTACACATCCTTGACACCAGTATGTACTTCCTTATACACTAGTGGGATGTTCTATCTTCTATTCACATGCTCACATATTGGGTTACCTCGGGAGGGAATGTGGACATCCTTCCCAAGCATCGAGACTCACCCAGAAGGTGATTCGCCGGTTTCGCCATCGGTGGTCGACAACGCTGAGCGTCAGTCACCATGAACTTCACCCAACGTTTCAGCTCTTCTTGCACCTGACGTGCCGCGGGCAGTTGTTAGCGAAGATTGGTTTGTTCACGTGCGCAGTTCTGTGGACATGGGGCCTGCAAGATGACGCTTTTTGAAGCTCTTGCTCATTCTCCTCCCACTGTCACTTTAAATCTTGATGGGTGCCCAACATGAATTGCCGGCGTCCGCCCCAAATCTCCACCGGCACATACAGTCCACAAATGGTGGACGTCTTCCACCTGTGTGGTCATTTAGAAGGGGAGGGGGTCAATACGATTGATAAGCTGGTCAGCATAATTGAGCATATGGCTCTTCCAGCACCAACTGCAACAATTCTGCTGCTCCACTGCAAGATGTGGTGTATTTAAAAAGCCCCTGGAAGGACCTGACCTAAGGAGGAAAAATAGACCAGTCTACCCATTGGTTGGGGCATCTTCCTATTGAAATACACTACACAACCATGTGTTGTCATACTAGTACGTCACGCCACAGTCGATCCACCAGTCGACTCCCTCCGTCGACATCGCCGCGACGCATGCGGCGAAACGGCCCGCGTCGACATGTCTGCTCCTCCTGTTGGCAAGGCACAAAAGGAACCGTGTGATTCAAGTCTGCCAAATCGTAAAACCATCCCTTGATGGACACCTCCTCATTGTATCCTAAGCCAAAGAGCGAAGCAAGCGGGCTTAAAGCAGGGTGCTTTCACATGATCACGGCCATGCTTTGTCAATTGAAGTATCTAAACTCGCACTTTCATGTGGCTGAACCATTACACCTGATACATCCTGATACTGTTAGTTCAGATAGAATTGTGGTCCAAGATGGCAATCCAAATTCTGATCAAAAAGTGAAAAGACCGCTTCCACTGATCCTAGAGAAAAGCGAAGAACGTGTTAAACACCGTCGTCGAAACAACATATCGCGCACACATGCGCACACAAACAACATCGCATGCATCCAAAAGTTGTCAAAAGGAGACATTCCAAGGCTTGATGTGTTAATTTTTCGATCGATTTTTTGTGTTGGAGACCTTGGCTCAACCAGCCTGACCCTTCGATTCCCATTCCGACCAAACAAAAGGACCCAACGGCCGTCTCCGGTTTCGCCAGGAAGCCTTTGCAGTCATAGTTGCCAACACCTTGCAAGTGACCATGGCTTTTTCTAGAACCATTTGTGCCAACTGGAACCAGGGTTGCCAACTGTCGCCCACACCACGTCATCGGGGCTGGACACCGTTCTGAACGAAAAAAGAACTCAGTCAGGCGAATTGCTCCGTTTTTGCGGTGAAAAAAAACATTCTAGTAGATCTAGTAGGAACAAGAAGCTAGTAGGAACAAGTGCATCGCTTCTAGGAACAAGTGCCCTACTAGTAGTAACAAGAAGCTAGTAGGAACATTTTAGCATAGCAAACATTTTAGCTTCAAATTGTTGCGTGCAAACATCTGTGGCGTGTTGAGTGGCAATCCAGAAGAGCTTGTGGCGTGCACATATGCTTTTCCTGTTCTCACTACCCTGTGGATGCTCAGATGCCAAAGAGGTTTCTCGGTACGTGACAGGAGGAGATGCTAGGCACGAGTATATATAGCTCTAGCTTTCAGAATCTACTATGGCATGCACTAGCTGGGAGTCAATTATGTCTCAGTCACTGCTTGGAGTAAAGAAATCTCTTGACACGTTGAAATCGTGAAGAGAAAAGCAACTAGAATTGTCCACTGTGCAGAGCCTCCGATGGCTGACGGCCAGGGAGGCTCAGTCCTTTCGGCTGACTTCGGTTGGGACCTCGAGAGTGACCACCGTACCCAGATACCGGTTGCGTGACGGAAGGAGACACCTTATTGAGTTCTCGTTGAGACTCCACATATCATCGAGAGTTCTCTGAGTCCATGAACCCAGTGTGAAAGCGACTTACAGGTTACAGGAACAGGTCTCGCGCTATGATGCTTTATGGTCCTACACCTACGTTGGTTGTGCTGGGACACCGGGACCACCCTGAAACCCCGATCTCAAAATACCAGGTACATCGCTTTCGAGATGATTTCGCCTACAAACCCATCATATCAGGTGAAAGAGCAGCGGGATGTTCAATTTTCCCAGTCTGTGCGGTGTCTGCGCTGACTCGATCGCGAGTAGTCATCGTATTCGAACGCGATGCTCGAACCACATCGAGCATCGGATCGGCCCCAGTGACGTCGACGAGGATCGTGTTCCTTCTCATCTGTTCACAGTGACGATCCGATGCAGCCGGTTCACACACGCCATGAAGAACAAAAACAAAAAGCCTCCGGGCTGCAACCGAGGGGCTGCAATATTTCAGATATGGAGGGCCATGGGCTTCCTCTCCATAGTACAAATCCTTGTGAGATGGGTGGAACGAGCCATCGGGACCTGACACCTTAGAAGACCTCCGACAATCATCTGTTACCTACTGTGGCAACCACACATCCAGACCCATCCATCCCACTAACCCTACTTGGCAGGAACCTAGCAATTTATGGTCACCAAAATCAAGATTCGTCCCCAGGCGCACGTGGAGAAAATGTCATCAACCAAGAAATCCTAGCTTATGAATGAATGGCAGCAAAAAGCTTGCCACTGCCACTGCGTTTCAAATTTGCTTCTCCTAGGTACCTATTTAGTGTTTAGAAAGTTCTACAGGATCAAAACAATTATATGTCCAAAATTAAGTAGTATATATATATATAGTAGTATATATATATATAGTAGTATATAGTCCTGAAAAAAAAATGTTCTAAACATATGGATCTGTCAACAATGGAGTGCATGTACAACTCTCCCAGGCAAAGAAAACACCCGCGGCTTGCCCATGGTCCAAAAGCGTGCCTGCTTGGTCCAACATGGTTGAACGCTGCATCTCTGGTGTGGTCCCATCAGAACTCGCAACATGGACGAGTGATTTCTTCTGCATTTGGGGCCCTCTTCCTTTTCGACTGGTTTTGGTTGTGTTTTGATCTTGAAGCCTCTTCCGTGTGTCTCCACTGTTTTACAGGTTGGGGTTCGTCTGGTAGTCAGGTTGTTCTTGAGATTGGGGAAAAAATTGCAACGGGGTGACCCTAAGGAGTAGTTTCAAGCAGGCCCTTCACACGCAGATGAGCAGAAGAAACCGACTTACCGCCGAATTCTTTCCATCAATGCGTTTGTTGCGTGCACCCTTTGGCAGCCATACCCGCCTTTGGGAGCTGAATGCATTCCCAGAAGCTTTCGAAAAGTTGTTGCCCGGGTAGTTGTTGCCTCAGATCTTAGAGGATCCACAGTGAAGGTGCTACTCTCACTCGTCTACCTACGGTTGCCTGGTGTCACCATGAAGGTTGTCGCTTTCCCTACCAGGATTCCACCTTTTGCTCGTAATCTTGAGCCGGCTTGGAGCCATCCAACAGGGTGCTAGTCATAAAATGTATATGAGGACGATACGTTGGAACTATATTGGCTAAAGAGTTGCACAAGCTGCACATCATAGATTCTATTTACTATATTGTGGTAAAGTGCGAAATGTAGTTTGATGAAATAGATTATGTTGAATTTGACGTATAGTTACTATTCTTGTCTGTCATTTATCCCGTCCGTGCTTGGGTGAAGTGTGCGGAAGTGCACCTGATTGTAAGGGATATTGCGGAAAATGGCGCCATCCCACCTGAACGTCTGGGCTCTGGAAGGGGCAGCCGCAGGCTGTGAAGTCAGCCGCAGTGTATGTCTGTATATATAGCGAATTCTATGACTCAACCTCGGTTGGCAGTTAACTAATTCTATAACTCAACCTCGCCACCGAAAAGGTCGCCGTCTAACTACAGTGGCCCCCTGAAAAACCTCCGTTGCCGGCAAGGGTGCAAAATCCATCAAACACATAGGGGTGTTCACCAAAATCGAACATGTGGTGAAAACAAAAAAGAAAAAGAGAGCACCCCTGAATGTCCTGAATGTCGTGGCACGTTCGAACATGGGAGCGTGAGAACGTGTGTTGTGGGGGAATCCCCCTTCCGGGTGTTGTGGGGTGACGTGAAAAAGAGAAAGCAACCTGTGAGAAATCAACACGCTCAAATCTTTGGCCTTCCGCAAGGTGAAATTGACTGAGCTCTCACACTTCGACCCAGGGGAAACATTCTGATGATCTATCTTTGCTGAACCTGTCAACGGCGAACATGGAGAGACAGGCCTCCAGGGCCTCCAATTGGAGATATTTGTAGAACAAGGGCCGTGTTGGTGACGACCACTTGCGCGGAGTGGTCATCACAACAATTAACTAGTATACCAGTACAAACTAAAACATGTTCCCCGCGGAAGGCGGCGGGAAGAAGTGGTTCTGGTGGGGTATCTCAACCAAGTGTAGAACAATTGACAGCCCAAGCTCCCAGTTTCAGTCAAGACTCACACGAGTTGCGTCCCTCATCACATATTTGGGGAGAGCGTGAGTGCAAAACCCAAGGAATATAGTTAGGGACCCCTTCTCCACCCCTGCCCAAACACGTGTAGACGTAGACGAGTGGCAATAAGTTCCTTAGCAGTTGAGACTGCGAGCGCAGAAAACTCAGATCTGTGAATCCCCCTGGGCCGCCCTGGGCCCTTGGAACGAGATTCGTACTTATGTTGGTGATGACCATGAATCCCTGTGTTTGTTACCATGTGTTTGTGGAATAGATGACGTAGTGATTACCAAGGATGCTACTTAATCACTATGATCCATATGATCCATATGCCGTGCACGAATGACTCCACGCTGAGTAAGGCATGCCAAAATGTTTGAACGGCACTGTCTGGTTTCCTCCGCAAAGGAGAGACACCTATTCTTGGGTGTGTACTTTAATAGGGAGGAAAGACATCCGAGAGCCCGAAACGTACCCCCCCAAAACCCCGTGCCGCACATGATATCACTTCTTTCATGTCCTTCCTCCCCTGCCTTCCTCCCCCTGCCTCATCCAAGCGGCCGTTGTTGGTGCCATCCGGCGTGCCATTCGGGAAGAATTGCAGGTAGCACTGGGCTCCAGCGCCGATCCCTTGCGTCGGATACCTCTCCCCCCGCGCGACCGCTCGGCGCGCGGTCCCCGCGGGTTCGGCCTGCGGAAGGGTTCACCGGTGCCGGAACGTGGTCCGTGGTCTTGATCTTCTTACCTGCTTTCCAGTGCTTTCCACCATCTTTGGAGAGTCCATTTGGCAAACCGGCAAACCCTTTGAGAGATTTTTTGAATGCCAGACTTCTGTCTTCCCACTCACCCCGTTGAAGGAGCTGACAATGCCTGAGTCGTCTCTCCAAGGCAGCCTGACGAATTGCCATCATCAACCCTGGTGGCCAAAGGCCTTCGTAGACTTATCAAAGGCCACCAGGCAATAAGGTATGTAAGTATGATCGAGTATGATCTACCCACCAACATTGATGGTTGCCATTGGATGGGTGGCCGAACTCGGGGGTGCACCCAACTATTGGAACGAATGGAAAGCCAAAAGCTCTCATCCCCGTCCGACCCAGAAATCATCCAGAATGACTTTCAGAGTTCCATCATGTTCCATCCCAAAGAACCGATGAATCAAGCACGCAACTGCTTCTTCGTGGCCACTACACACTCCCACCCACCCACCCACCCACCCACCCACCCATGGAACAAAGATGGAATGGTTGGCGTCCTTGGTCGCCCCTGTAGGGGAAGACAGCAGGAATACATCCCAAATTGGAGGTGGAATCGTTTCATTCTGGATGGGTATGGGTCCTATGGATTCCATATGGATTCCATATGGGTCGTCTTGATGCCCAGGCACGGCCAATCACTCATCTTCTCGGCATACTCATCGAAGGTCATATCGCCTTGTCATCGAAGGTCCATGTCGCGTGATGAACGCCACACGAGATCATCGAAGCTCTGGACTTTGCGAGTTGGGGCACCAACTCCATGTCCAGTCCCATCCGGCATGATTAACATGCTTGGCCCGAAAGGGCCACAAATGTGTCTGAGTCCCTCCCACTCATTTTTCGCTTGACGTCCAACCACCACACAATTGGAAAAAACAAGCAAAAGCAACTGAATATTTCATAATAGTTCCAGATTTTCCAGGAAAAGTATCTACATCCCACCTTCCCCTACCCTGAAGACAGTGTGGGGCCTTGGAGCCTTTTTTGAAGGGCTGACGGGCTGACTGTCGAGTCACTGATATTGAGCAAGTGAAAGTAGGAGGTCTCCTCAGATTGCACCAGGCTTGGCCATCTACTCTGACATATCCACATGTCAATTGAGGAGTGTTTTGGCCTTTCCTCTAGCCCCTCAAGTGACCTTCCCAAGAAGACATCTCAGCGTATGTAGGGAGCCGAAGCCAGAGTCATCTCAATATAAAACATGCAACCCAACGCCGACAGACAACGATGATTCACTGTGCATGGGCGAGCCAACAAACAACGTTTCGCAGGCAGAAATGAGATGCACTCCTGCTACTTGTGGGTGCCAGGATTCTGTAAATCAAGAGTATCAGTGAAAGCCGCCCTAGCCATCCCTAGCCTACCTTCTAGTGGGAAAAGGCATCTTCCCTGAATTGTGCTAGCCCCAACTTGTTCCGGCAAAACATGGCAAAACCACATTGAAGAGCTCAACGGTTCAATACCACGGTCCACGCTGTCGGGTCACATTGAAGGGGTGAACCTCCGACAAGTCGGCTTCGCTATGAATGGGCCGCACGTGGTTCAGGACGATGTCCAAAATGAAGCACATGCCTGATCGGTGCCCCATCGGTACCCCCACCCGTTTCGAACGGATCCCATTCTGAGAAGGTTCACATGATCCCATTCTGTCTGCGGGTTTTGTTCGAGGATGGCAAGGACAGAAGCTCCAATCGATCAGTCGGAGTTCCGGGTGCCAACCCACCTTTCCTTGGTGCCCAGAAAGCTGAGGAAAACCACTTCTCTTACCGACTCTTACCATTTCCCTCCGGGTCCAACTCGGTTTCGGTCAACGCAAAAGTGGACCGAAACGGTTGGTGTTTTGCCAACGGCTTTTGTCCAAAAGTGGAAAGGACGTCGCTTGGTTGCAGGTCTCTAACGACTGCAGATCGGGCAAGACACGAAGGTCCACAACAAACCACGTGTCCACCATTCTAATAGCAGGGGACGTCATTCCCGTGTGACGGAGACTCTGTGACGGGGTCATTGGCATGTCGCAAATCCGCGGGATCCCAATGTCGCCAACACCTTCAGCTGCGAGACCATTGTTGTGCGTCTCTTGCACCAGAGTCTTCATGTCTTCGGCTGTGCCGAAATTCGGGTCGATCTTGAACCAGTCCTGTTGCAGGCGCTGAAAAGGGCCGGTCATGAGGGTCAGTGCCGGAAAAACGGTTCGGCGACTCAAGTCACCTGTGCTCACCACAACGGACTGTCAACGAGTGTTGCATGGAATGCAACGCAATTGGTTTGCAGGAATGTGGGGTGGGGAAACACCCTGGGTGATATAGCTGAAACCTTCAAATTTGTAGCACGTCTTTTTCGCCGAACCTTGGCAGACATTTGCGGTGGGTTTGCCATGAAATGTACGCTGTTGGGGTTTCATGGGTTTTGTGTTTGCCTTGAGATGCTGAATCTTCAGACTGAAGTTTTCTTAGGCCAACGGTGGACACCATGCACGCAAATTGAAGAGTGGCGAATCACCCTAAAATGGGTGGGATATTAGAGATCCATGCGTGTTGTTGAGTGATTGTAGCAAATTTGCTTCAATGAACACTTATTGAAATGAGCTTTTCTTTGCAGCGAAAGAAGCTTCAGGTATACCTTTCGACCAAAAGATGTCGCATAATTATTCGATAGACAAGACGGCGAGTCTCACAACTGATGGGCTACTGGAGACCAACACAGAGAGTGGTGGAAAATCATGCCCCAAAATCAAGGCCTTTTGTCCAAAAAGGATTACAAGGGTAAACCTGGATGCATTCTTGGAACTGGGGAAGAATGAAGGTTACGAACATCGTGAACGAATAGAAACCAAAGGATTGGGCTCATGCAAACCCTCGGAGGGCACAACGGGCTGTAGAAGGTACTGTAGCTTTGCAAGCTGGCTCTTTTGGTCCTTGGATCTACTATACAATCGATTGATTGAAAAATGCCAGCAGATATCCTTCCCCAAGTTTCTGAACAAACGCTGCGCACCGGCTTCTCCAAAGGGCCGCCATGGCGGGCAAAGACCAAAACCAATGCCCAGCACCGTGCCCCGCGCGCCTGTGCCCAGTAGCCATGATAGCCGTATCCACTCTGGCCATCCGGCCCGTAGTAATTCAGAGGGACTGGTGTGACCCAAATGCAATCAAAGCCCATTCCTCCGCGCAGCAAGGGAGAGAGTCATCAAGGACTGTTCTGGTTCTACAGAACTTGTTGAAGACCTCTTGCCGTAGCCTAACCATGACGGAATCTTAGGGAGCATCAGTTTGATGGACTGATATCCACATTTAACTTGGAGAAGACTTAAACTCGAAGCTTGTAATACGGAAAGTGGACCTGCCTTCATAATAGTTGGGGACACCCGGACACCCCAAACAACTTGTCCTGGTCTTCGGAAGGCTTCGGAATTCGCAGCGTCCGAGTAAGCAAACAAGAGAAGATCCACGTGCATGATCCTGTTCGCCAGGTCCACGTTGTTTGTGCAGGGAACCAGCAGGAAAGGGGCACAAACTGGTAGTCTAGATGAGCCACGGGCGCGGCCGACGGTAAAAACGGGAATCCGGAGAAACGTTATGGCCCGGACAGTGGCGGATGGGAGCAGCAACTCATCCAATTGCTCACTGTGAGGGCTGTGCAAGAAAGAGTCAAGGTGATACAAATGTAGCACGCAAAGTAGCTTCTGGCAGGTTCCTACGCTCTCACTCACTACCTCACCTCACCTCACCTCACCTCACCTCACCTCACCTCACCACCTCACGCATTTACTCCTTGATCAAGAAGAGCTTTCCAAAGACAGACGTTCAAAAATGCTAGCTTCTTTGCTGTGGTTGAAGCTGCATTGAATATCCAGGTCGGGTGAGCCGATTCGTGGAATCGCCTTTGTACGGGTGTTTTTCTGCTTCCCATGCGGCCTTAGCACCGAGTTGTGGAGAAATTCCACGGTGTCTGTGTCTTCAGCTGGTACGCCGGTGGCCCGTCCCTTTTCTTTAAAAGTGCATGTTCTTCCCGAGGTCGGCACAGCGCTCCTTTGCTTGTTTGAGTAGCTGCGTAGCTGTCTATCTGCTTCAAAAAGCCGCTTTGTCGAGCGTTTTTCGGCGCCTCTTTGCCTTTGGAAATTTTGGCTGGCAACAATTGTGGTAGTGTCTGCGAAAGAGGGCGAAACTGTGATGGTGAAGAGCATGGCTTGAAAGTTGTTTTGTAAAGTCCATTTTTGTTCTAGCTTCTGGAGCACAATCTTGAGCTCTGGAGGCTGCTGCTGCATCATTACCTTGTACTCGGTCCTATGAGGAGAACCTTTTTAGCAAGCACCATCGCTGAACCTCTTAACCCGCAACACGCTGAAGAATCCAAAATGTCTGCACCAAATGCTCCCGATTGAAAGAAACTATCCAAGAAGTATGAGGTCCTTCACTCCTCTATGCCCCCAAATCCCCCCCCTCACCGGGGAAGACGACCGTAGTGGTAGGCCTTGTGCCGTCACAGGGCTCTGCTAGTATGAAGTGCTTGGTTTCAACCGCCAAAAGGAACTTGCGGGGCCTCAAAAAGGTGCTGATCAACTCATCAACTCACCATCTCCGGATCTCAGTGGTTCCGGTCTTTCCTCCCGTCCTGCAATGTAGTCCAAATGCTCCGTGATCCCTGGCGAAGGATCGATCGAATCGCTTCGGCCGCATCGGTCTCTCGGGTCGGTCGCCGGTCAACCGCGCGACGCTTCTGAGGACTCGTAACTGTCACAAGGCGTTCGTGAAAGCGAAGAAAGCCGGAGTCTATAGCGAGTCTCGCTCCGGAGCCAACCTCTCAGAGTTCCATTGCACCATTGGTTCCCATCGCAGGCGCTGTTGTTCCCCTCAGGCGAAGCAATCGAGTGGGAGGCTCTCGTACATGGCGTCTTTAGCTTTACCAAGTAATGGGATGTAATGGGGTTCCAAACGGAATTGTCACGGATCTTGTCAGAGGAACTGACAGGGTAATGCTCAGTCAAGGCCACGTGGGTAGTCGCCAAAAACTGCGTGTATCCTTCAGTAACATAGCTTCAGGGTACTTAAAACACATTGCCCTCCAAAACGTGGCGTGCTTGAAGTCCAGCCTAGCCTAGGGGCTCGCCTATTTGGGCCACCTCCATCTGTATGCCTATCGTCTCCTTCGAAGAGCTCGCAAGAATGTCCAATTGTGCGCCTTCGCCGCTAGCCTAGGCCTCTCATACGCCCTTTGCGTGGTGTCTTCACGGGTGCGGAGGGCCAGGGCTTAGGCCCAGTAGAAAAGTCCAGGGTGGTTTCGGAAAGGTGTACTGATAGGCTGATAGGCGAAGGGTAGGCATATGGTAGGCCTACGGAGTATATGATACGCCTAGACCCTACCCTACGTGGGTCGACTCTACCCCTGTACACAGGACCTTTATATGGCTCAATGAAAGAATTCTGATCAGAAATCTGTGCAACATTCAACATCAATTTCCCTGCAACCCCTCCCAACCATAGCCCAGGAAAAGCTCCAGATCCCAGCATCAATGAAACCAATCTTTATTTCTACAGGCCTTGTAGTGTTCTACGTAGCCGGTCTTCTGATGACTTTCTAAATTCTTCCATCAAACCTCCATCCCAGCTTCGTGCCCAGAATCCTACGAATCTCGCACACCAAGGGAATTGGAAGGTGGAAGAAGAGACTTTAATATCCTTTAACATCCTTTAACCCTGCTTCAACCCACTCCCAACGTCCAGTGGCAATATTGTCCTCTTTAGACGTTTTGAAGTAAAAGTAAAAAAAGGCACGCGCCAGGGCACTGCGCTGTGTCCGCCCACACGGTCGAAACGATCGGGCATCACAAGATAGACGGACTTACCCTCGATCTTGTGGTAGCCTCGCCCCATGTTCGGAGTTGGCACGTCAGGTCACTTGCAGGTCCATTCATTTGAGAGACCGCAATGGATGGCCCAAGACGACCCTTTTGTGGAAGCACAGTAGGGTAGAACGAGTTATATAAAAGGAGCTTTTAGAATCTTTTAGATGCTTTTAGGATAGCCATCACTTCATGTTTCCTGTTGGAGAAGCTGTTTCACCTTTTCAAGCATCGGACCGCAGAACCGCATCGAGGGGAACCCAGTTTGATCTCACAGCAGAAGGGTTCAAGTTCAAGGGCCCTGGTTCTCCGACCGGTTCTTTTTGGGCACACGTCTCTGGGTCTCACGCTGATCCATCTCCAGTCTCGTGGCTCTGAGGCTTGATCATCTCATCCCAGAGAACGTCCCTTTTGGACAAAAACAACTTCACTGAGGTGACTGAGGTGACTGAGGGCTTGCCGATTCTGGAGGCCTCTGTCCATCTCTGTCCGGAAGATGCAGTTGTTGGGGAGGATTGCATCGTTGGAAGAAGTTGACAAAGTTAGTTCGTTGGTATTTTTGGAATAGACCCCTTTTAGGTGCTGTCTGCCTACAAAATGTGCTGAACATGCCGTGAGTGCAAACCAATGCCAAAACCCTTCGCGGCTGGGACAAAACCATGTTGTCAGAATCTGGGGTCCAAGCGTCTCATTGTTCAACCCGTTGCCATCCCCGTTGCTGGTGGTCAAACCTTCGGCCCGTTCCCATCCTGTAACCTCCTCCTCCCCTCCTCTTCATAGCCTGTGGGATCTTTTTGAAGCTTCTCTGTCTTCGTTTCCAGCTGCGTCTGCCTCTTTCTTTGCAGCAGTTTCACATCTTCGCAGTCCTCGCACAAACACTCACTTAGCCGCTCGGGCGAGTGGCTCCGACGAGTTCAAACAGTTAGCAGCTCAGCTCGAATGAAATGCCAGAAGTACTTGGTCAGCTGGTCAGAGGGAAAATGGCCGTATGACCCGAAAAAGAATGAACATGTACCAACACACAAAATAGGTATGGAAAGAACACACAAAAAATAGAAACAAGAAAGTAAAAGGCCAAAGGTACGGAATCCCAAACACGCCCAGTACCACATCACGAACATCACAACTCACCACACTCATCACACTCATCACATTGGCAGTTCACCCCAAATTTGGGAACTCTTTGGACCTTCCTGCTCACCTCTACCAGCCACCTGCGACCAAAAAACGGTTCCTCCGCATCACGAGTGTATTTATATAAGCATTTGAGCAGAGCAAAGTTGAACAGTAGCGTTCTTGTTCCTAGTACTACGGCCAGGAGCCCTAGTAGCTTCTTGTTCCTAGTAGTCTCCAACTCCGATAACTCTGGGAACATCTTTTGGACCAGTAGATGGGGGGGCGATGTGTTTCCACTACCTGCGAGTGAAAGACTGCCAAGACTCCCAAGAGAGCCTGCCAGCGAGGCTGATGAGGCTGTTTTGGGCATGTCTTGAACGGATGACCAGACGTTACCAACCTACTAGCGCTGGCCTCTAAGAGTGATGGTCTCCACCTACTAGTGATGGAGGCTCACTTGAACTGACCAGACGATACTGCGATGCTGCAGATCCCGGGCGAGCGCACGTTGTTGCACCAACCGCACCACCAACCCAGGTTGGTCCTTCTTCCCTTTCTGTGTTGGGATATGTTAGACCCGGTGTGAAAGGCCGCATTGAGATCCGTTCAACCTTAGCTTTACGTTTCAATACAACTTGGAAAAGTGTGAAAAAGTGAGCAAATGTGGAAAACCTTTGTGAGAACTCATTGCGTGAGCTCCTCGAATCCTTCCCCCACACCGCCGGTCCTCAGTTACACAGGAGCTCCATGCCACCACCGCTCCAGCGACCAGTGCTCGCCACATGGGCCGTAAATAAACGGCTCAACCGCGGGAAGACCCAGATCTGGAACTTGACAAAGGGATTGAATCGAGATTGAAACATCTGATTGAATATCGATCCACAAAAACTTGCGCAGCAAAAGATCAAAATAACGATACAACTTGATACAATTTGATACAAGAAAACCTGGTTGGATATCACTTGGTACAACTTGATACAACTTTCACTTGGATTCTTGATGATTCTTGGAAACCAGATCAAGTGTTTCACTAGCCACTCCCGAGGACCTCGTCTCGGTTTTGTCGGATGCGTGACACCCGATACTAACTCGAAAGGGCCCAGTCTGGTGAAGGGAGATCTGAGATGTACGATCGCCGAGTGATTTTTTTCACTCAGGTCTCCTCACTCGCACAGGTGCTCAAACGGAGAGTGCCACACCCTGCATGGGTCTGAGAGACACCTAGGTCTCAAAAAAAACAAAACACCCAAAGCAAAATTTGAAACGAAAGGTCTAAAAATCGATCTATAATTTTGACATGTGATCACGTAAAAACATGTGAATCACGAACATGCGTCCGGTGGAAAAGCCCGAGCTCAAAAAGGACCTCCAACGAATCCTCCCCACACGGCCCTTGTCGTCGAACGCAGGCGGCATGATTCACGTCCCCCCCCCCCGCTCCTCTTGGCACTGGGCTCGCTGGAACGATCCTGGAGTCGCCGCGGTGGGACCGGGTGAGTGAGACCGGCTTTCCACTGTGGACTGTGGTTTCCAACCCGTCCGAGACCGCATGTCTTTGCTCCAAAACTCTAGGGTCTTGGATGGTCTTGGCTAAACATCAGAATCTTGCATGTTGAGTTCTACAGTAAAAGAAAAATATGAGGCCACACAACTTCGAGGTCACTTGCCCTCCTCATCAGCTCCGCGTGCTTCGCTGGCTTCGCTGGGGCAGGTGAGCCTTGGTGGGCGACCACCTGGCACCGAGGTGAGTCGGATCGAAGGTGAGCGGCCAAAACGTTGACCGAGATGTGCTGGAGAAGTCCAGGAGCACTCGGTTTCTTGGGGGTACCAAGCATGTCACAGCCTATGACAACCTAGATTGAAGCTGACCCATAGATTGAGATTCAAGATGATTCGATCAAATCAGCCAGTACAAGATGCGCTTTTCGATACCTGGAAACCTGGATCAAATCCCGACGTTCACGGATTTGACCGACTCTCTCGTTCACGGCCGCATTTGACCGACCCTTCATCACTTCTCGTGCTGTTGAGGTCGACCCTTCGATCTCTCCTTCAGCGAAGGCGCACTCGCCAGGGGTGATGTTTTGAGGATTCTGAAACTCAGGTTCTGAAACTGGGATTCTCAAACAGTTAGGGGAACAAGATCATTCTCCTTAAATTGTGGAATCAAGTTAGTTGTGGAACCCAAGACAGTTGCGGAAGCTCAGTTGCGAATCCCAGTTGCGGAATCTCACTTGCAGAATTTCAGTTGCTGAATCCCAGCTGCGTGGAATCCCACCAAATAGTTGCGGAATCGGCCGAATCCGGCTGAATTCTCTGCGACGTCGCAACACATCCGTCGCCACCCACCCGGCCTCTCCCCTGAAAATAGATGTGAATGTGCCAGATCTAAGTCTTCAGCGCGCGATTCGACACCCGTAGACAGCGGGTCTTCACAAATCGATCGTCTTCAAAGCCATCAAGGGGCGAACGTCTGGTAGATGAGCTACAAGTTCTTCGAACGCTGCAGAAGAGCACGAGTTCGTTGCACTCGCTGCGATGGGAAGGGCGAACGTCACAAATCCAAAGCACCCCCGCGGCTGGATCAGCCTTCTTTTTCCAGAAAATCATTTCACTTCTCTTCTCAGGACTGCAAGGAGGACACACGACCCACACGACCCCAGCTTCCGCCCAACGTTCCGACGGTTTCTTCGCTCCGTCGGACACGTGTCGTTTCCGTCGGACCGCGAAGGTTTGAGCGTCCCCCCGGCGTTGATGGTGCGTCGGCCGCGGTTGTCATCGTAGTTCCAGGAGACCACCTCGGGATGAAGCCGAGGGATGAGTTGATGGAAGCTGTGAATGATTCTGTGAGTGATTGGATGTTTGATGGATTTGAAGCTGTGGATGTGTTCTGGATCAATGAGGGCTTGTTGGAACTTGGTAGCAGTTGGGCTTGTTGGGGCCCCCTGAGGCGCCGTGGACTCCGAAGAAGTGACCGAGTGCCGCACATGATGCGGCTCTCGGGCATCCAGCCATCCCTGCGCACATGGGAAAGGCATCCAGCCAAGAGACCATGGGATTCGTCGGAAATACACAGAGGGCCATTTCTCGTGGTCAAGAGTCCGCTCAGGCCGGAAAAGTAACACCAATTCTGCTTGGGCTGAGCTCATGTCCCTCCATCGTGAGCTCAGGCCTCTCCTCTCTGTGTCTCAACAGTTCAAAGTACTGTGCTGTGCTTGTAACTGGCGTGCTCCGAAGGTTTCCCTGGGAGTCCCAATTATGCCAATGAGCATCTTCTGTCATGTCTTTTGGGTTTGGTGCAAAAGCTTCAATGTTAGTAGTTAGTGGTGTCAACCCAACTATATACCCAATTATGGGCCCTTGTGATACTGGGCAATGCCCAGTATCATCGAAGGCCATGTTCTCCATGTCCCAGGCTGGTGGCAGGGTGAAAGTTCGGGTGCTGATCTGGGTGTCTTCGAACAAGAACGATCTTGGCATCTCTGAGTGATTCACAGATTCATGTAGACGACGTCCTTATCAGGCAACTTCCAGACGCAACATCCTTGTCTTCCGCGCGATTGAAAAGCACGGGTCCGTGCATGACGGGTCCTCCACGTAGTCACAGAGCTCGTCATGGTCCATGGGCTTCCTGGTGTGACCAGTCGCAGCGAGGATGAGTGGAGAACTGGTGGGGGCAGGACTGGACCCCACAAAAACGCACCCCTTCTATCCCCTTTTCCCATATTTTCCCATGGCCTGTCTTGCACTTCATCTTTTTCAGGCGGAGCACTCTTGGTAGCTGAGGAAACATACGGGCAGTAGACAACCAGTGGAGACAATGATGTGTGTTCGTTAGGTGCATTCTCTAGTGGTTCCTTCCTCCTGCAACACTACTTCGAGGTAAACAAGTAACAACTCAGACCGGCCGGAAAGCTTTCAAAGGCAGCTTCAACCTTTCCCACGGGAGTTTGGGGCATAGGGGCATAGGGGTATTGATATCTCCAAGAAACATCCAGAAACTGCAGACATGTTGATTGCTCCAACTCCGGCTCGGTGTCAAAAAATGAGTAAGAACCCCAGGGGGGTAACATACATACCTCGTTTTCGGAGGTTAGTAAGTATCTAGCAGGCAACCCCGGCCTCCCCCCCCCCCATCTAGGTATGTATGTATGTATGTATGGTCGAAAGGTACATACCTCGAAATCAGGGGTATGTATGTTTCTGGGGAACATACATACCTAGAAAAGGAGAGGTATGTATGTATGTGAAAGGTATGTATGTATGTCTGGGGAAACATACATACCTCGAAAATGATACGTATGTATGTATGTCTGGGGAAACATACATACGTAGAAACTACAGGTATGTATGTATGTCAAAGGTATGTCTGTGTGTCTGGGGAAACATACATACCTACAAACTATAGGTATGTATGTATCTCTGGGGAAACATACATACGTAGAAATTTATAGGTATGTATGTATGTCTGGGGAAACATACATACCTAGAAACTATAGGTATGTATGTATGATAAAGATATATATGTGTGTGCGGGGAAACATACATACCTAGAAAATTAGAGGTATGTATGTATGTCTGGGGAAACATACATACCCAGAAAATCGTAGGTATGTGTGTATGTCCGGGGAAACATACATACCTGGTAGGTATGTCTGGGGAAACATACATACCTGGAAAAGGAGAGGTGTGTATGTATGCCTCGGGAAACATACACACCTAGAAAAGTATAGGGGAATGTCCGGTATGTATGCATGTCTGGGGAAACATACATACCTTGACAAGAAGGGGTATGTATGTATGTATGTCTGTTTGGGGAAAGAGACATACCTAGAAAAGAAGCGGTATGTATGTATGTATGCATGGTCCAAACGTACATACCTCAAAAGCAGGGGTATGTATGTTTGTCGGAGACATAGAAGAGTCGTACATAGCCATCATGTATGTATGTCCGGGGAAACATACATACCCTGTATGTATGTATGTATGTATGTATGTAGGTATGTATGTATGTATGTATGTCCGGGGAAACATACATACCGAGGAAATTACAGGTATGTATGGTATGTATGTATATCTGGATACATGTGCAACACAGACGTGCATGTGGCCAAAGAGTGCAGGTAACAGCTGCAACACTGGGGCCTCGGCAGCAAGGGCAACGGAGAGCGCAGAAGGTCTGGACCTAAGTGGACGTAATGGACCAGGACGCAGGCGGCAGGTACAGTGCCGTCTGGACATGGAGTCGAAGACATAGCACGACTTGAGACGCAGAAGCGGCGCACACCTTTTTCTGCGCGTCGGCCAAAAAGTGGGGAAGCACCCACGAGCAACTAGAGGTCCAAAGCGTGGCGCCGACCGAAGCACGTACCAACCACCCGACTGCATCTTTTTTCTTTGCGAACAGCTGCCCCACAAGAGCACAGAGATGATGCTGAGTGCGAGCAGAAGCGAAAACTCCGTAGAATGCCCTGGACCTCGACCGGCAACACCGCCCCCGGTACACGCTGGCAGCAGACTAGCGAGAGGAGGTGTAAGTCTGAGTGTGCCACAGCCGCCACGAAGAAGGGGGCTGCAGTACCTGGAGGGTGGCGGAGTGAGAACATGTGGGCACTGGTTGCGTGGTACCGGCGCCGCGACATGTGCGGGTGGTCTGGTCCCAAAGATCTCGACCGACATGACACCCCTCGGCGCTGCGGCATGTTCGTGACGAAAGCGACACACCCAGAAAATGAGACGTGTGTAGGACGTAGGAGACCGACCACACGACGCACCGACGTAGCA